ATGGTTGTTAATGAAGTGGTTGATGACTTGGTGGGACAGAAAAAAGAGGGTATTATTTGCAAAATTAATATGGAAAAAGCTTATGATAGAGTGTGTTGGGATTTTGTACTCTACATGATGGAGTGGATGGGGTTCGGGAATAGATGGAGAAAATGGATGAAGATTTGTATGTCAACTACTTCTTGCCGTAATAATCAACGGTGAACCTTCTTCTTTCTTTAAGGCCTCTAGAGGTTTTCGCCAAGGGGACCATTTATCGCCCTTACTTTTCCTTATGGTGATGGAAGCTTTTAGTAGACTCATGGAGAGTTTGTCGGTTGGGGTGGGGGAGTCCGCGGTGAAAGTATTCCATTTATTTTTTGTCGATGACACTTTAATTTTTTGTGAGCTGGATCTTTACTCTTTACTTCACTTGAGGTGTTCACTTATTTGTTTCCAAATGATGTCGGGTTTGAGGATAAACTTGAGTAAAACTGAAATGGTTAGAATTGGAGATTGGAGGGATGAAAGGGAATTGGCTAGTGTGTTGGGTTGCAATATTACCGAGCTGCCTATTAAATATCTTGGACTCCCTAGGGGCGAAGTTTAAAGATACCAAAACTTGAGATCCCATTGTGGATATGTTTGAAAAGAGGCTTGCGGAGTGGAAGATGAACTTTCTTTCTAAGGGGAGATACTCACATTGATCAAAAACACTAACAAATTTACCAATCTACTACCTTTCTATCTTAACTATTTTGGCCAGCGTTACTACTAAATTAGAGAGGTTACAATGCAGATTTTTTTGGGGTGATGAAGAGGGGCATTGAAAATTTCACGTAGTAAAGTGGGAGGAAGTGAAGAAACTGTTCTATAAGGGAGGTTTGGGGTTGAGATCTATTTCGAAGTTGAATTCTGCTTTACATGGCAAATGGCTTTGGAGGTTAGCGAATGAGAGTGGGAAAATGGGGAGAAAGATGTTGAAAAACAAATGGGGTGATTGGGAAAGGGATGGGGGTAGAAGAGGAAAAATATAAATGACATGGTTATTGTTTGTGGAAGAAAATTAGCAATGACAGCAAGAGTTTTTATGATTGCATCTGCTGGCAGCTGGGGCAATAGAACTGAAATTAATTTCTGGAAATATGAGTGGGCTGGTGACTTCAAATTGAAAGACAAGTTCCCTAGGATTTTTGAGATTGCTAGTGAGAGGGATATCCTTATGGAGAAGATAAAGTGTACGGGAAGGAAAAAAGGGGGGGTGGGTGGTGTATTCAGGTTAGGAGAAATTTGAAGGATGAAGAAGATGATGAATACTGTAATCTGCTTCGTAGTCTTGCTGATTTTAAGGTGGGAAATCTGAAAGACAAAAGAATATGGAAATTGGACAAGAAAAGAGGCTTTTCTGTGAAGTTCCACTACAATTTTATTGTAAAAAATGGTGATGATAACGTCTCGGCAGGACCGTCGAAGCATATCTGGAGGTCAAAAGCTCCACCTACAATGGCTTTTTTCATTTGGGAAGCTGTTGAAGAAAAAATATTGACCATTTACATGTTGAGAAGAAGAGGAATTATGATGGTTAATAGATGTTACATGTGCACGGCCAATGAAGAATCTTGCAACCATTTATCACTTCAGCGTTCAATGTGTATGAAATTACAATGTGTATGAAATTATGAGGATGAATTGAGTCATGGCGGGTAGGGTTAGTGAGGAATTGTGAGCATGGGTTGATTTATGTAAAAAAAAAAAAAAGAGAATTATTTCTTATTCCGATTTTTATCCTGTGAGTTGTTTGGAGGGAGATGAATGATAGGATTTTTTAGGGTATTGAAATAGATATTATAAATATTAACAATAAATAATTTCATACTTTTAATTCTATTTTATTAGATCATAATATATTAAATTGGAAAAATATTAGAGCTGTCATAAATCACCTAATAGACTTATAATTTTGTGCTCTCAAGTAATACCACCTTGATATTTTTATGCATAATAACATTTTTTCTCTTTTTATCTTAAAAGAAAAATAAAAAGATATGTTATTAGAAAAAGAAAATTTTTATTTTCAAAATTTATATATTTATATATATATAAAAATATGTAGTAATTAATATATAAAAAATAAGAAAAATAATAACAAAATTTAAAAATAAGAAAAAATTGATATTTAAAATTACACAAAATAATACATATATAAACATAAAAACTTTCAAAGTAAAAAATAAAAAGAAAAGATATACCAAACAAAAATTTTTATCTTTTAGTTTCAATTTTTTAAAATATATATTTATACATATACTTACTTGTAACATATATAGAGTGATTTGTTCAAAAAAAACTAATTTCATTATCATTTTCACTATTATTTTATAATTTTTCTTTTTATTTATAATTACCTTACATGTTTTGGTGCAAAAACATGAATAAATTTATTGCAAATTGAGAAAATAAAAAAGATCATGCAATGAGACACAGCCTAACTTCTGGTGTGGTATGCACTTCAAGGAAAATGGAAAATATCAAACTGACTAAAATATCACTAAAGCGAACTACAGAGCATCTTGTGACCCCCTTTTGCCCCTTAAAATTCAAAAACATCTACTCAACTAGACAACTACATCCAATTCATGCAGGTCAAATTAGAACACATATCACAGACACAGACCAAGAGGAAAATGAGAAAAAGTCTATCTCCCACTATAGACATTTTGCTACAAGAATCTTATAGTTGCCCATCAAGTTCATAAAACTGACACTCTTGTGCATGTTTAACCTGACGGATCTTATGTTAATAATACACGACATTAGAGGATAAATTTCTAGAATAAACAGGAACCTGTCATTTGGATCACTTGTGCCTGAAGACAATAATGATTGCCGTGCAGTTATCCTTGCAGCGTCGCTCACGAACAGCTTCTCTTATGAGACGGCGGCTTATGGTTGTAGCAGTTAAGCCCTCCTGCCAAGAATTTTCAACACTCTAAGCAAGCAATCATTTGACAAAGATAGTAATAACCAGATGTTAGCACTGAGTTCTATCAGCCCATAAAGGATACTGTTCCCTGCCCATCCAAGCTGAAGTAAGAGATTTTTTTTACATCTATCTTCATTTTTCTTTTGGGTGGGAAAGCATTTATGGGAAGCACACATTGTTTGGTGTATATGAATCAATTACTACAATGCACAAATTTCTATACAAGTTGGATTAAACAATACAGAAAATTTAGCTATCTATTAAACAAAAGCTGCAGATTGAAATGATTTGGCAATTGGGAAAGAAGACTAAAACTTCAAGGAATAAACATCTTCAAATTAGCATGTCATATTGCAGTTAAAGACAGAAAGTTTTCATGCACAGGGAGAAATGAAAATCACAATGGACTTAATCAAATTCAACAAAAAGTAAAATATACTTTCCAAGAAAAGAAGTGAAAATTTTGCTCATACCTTCAATAATCTCTGAACAAATTCAACAGCATCACCTGGTCCAAATACCTGAAACAAAACCCAGATTCAAGCTTTATATTACAAAACAAAATTCATATTACATTTAGGCACAAAAGCTAGAAACAGAAGATATACCCCCCATAGGCCATCACAACCAAGAATTATGAAGTGATCTCTCTCTGTGAGGTCAAAAGAAGAGATATCTGGGGTTGCGGTTACACCCACCTGTAGTTTGAAAAGTTCTTTAAGATGCAAACTTAACAAATATTCTATGTTGATAAATGAAAATCAACTTATTTCAACAAAAAGCATAATATCAAAAAAAAAAAAAAAAGAATTTAGACTATATGTTAATTAGAAACAGAAGAGCAGCAGCATTAGATCATTCTGTGGTCTGTTAGCAAGCAGGGGAAACAAAAAACTCGAGAGGCTGCATCATTATCAAAGGTTGCCCACTTGGCCCTTTTAACAATTAGTTCCATAACCATCTTCTTTTATAGTGCCCTGAGAGGAGAAGGCTACAGGATTCAGCATTTAGCTTATTGGCATCGAATGGGAGGTGACATTGGTCTATCTAGGCCAAGTTACTTGCTTGCAATGGCAACTGTGCAGTCAACAGAAAGAAGAAACTACTTGCCCTTATTCCTCATTTCATTTTTCAGACCATCTAAGGGCAAGAGCTGGAAAGGTTTTTGAGACATTTCATTTAGCTTATTTGTATCAAATTTTTCTAGGCTTAGAGACCTTTAGTTTGAGACATCATGTATCTTGTTTAAAGGTGATCCTATCCTAAATGTAGAAGATCTTGGTGACCTCATAGATATTTGGCTGATATTATTTCGTAAGTTTTGCATTGTTCTGGATGTACATGAGTGACACTTATTCGTGCCACTGTAAATTTTTTATCTTTTCTTCTCAAAAAAGCAGGGAAG